GCCGAACCCATGTGGCTGATGTATAGATCAATGCTTGGGTCCCACGCCATACAAGGAAGCCCAACTGGGCAGTAGTTAGGAAGGTTAGGTGAGCACATAAGCTTAATGGGCCTAAAGCCCATTTCGAACTGGGCTATTTTATTAGTTAATAATGGGGCGAATTCTGAGATGGATTAGGAGAAAGCTAATCTAACCTGCAGATAAGATAAGGGTTTATCCCTATCACCTAAAAAAGGTCTTATCCAAATATGATTTGGATAAGCAACTCCTAATTGAATTAGGAGCTGATCTTTTAAGTTAACAAAAGAATGAGGGGGCAGCAGCCTTTAGAAGACACACAATCAAATTTTCTTCAGTGCTGAAATCACAAGAAGAGATAATTCTGCACCTTGTGAATACTCTCTTGCCGCCTCCCTGTTATTGCCGCYCTGTTTGCTAGTTCGATCTCCAGTTGTGAGAGAAGTCAATATTCGATCTTGACATCAGTTCTTTGAGAAAGAATTGATAGGAAGCTGTGTTCACGTGCCATCCTACTGATTATTGCGAATGACAGAGTTCTTGGAGAAGAACACTGTTGATTCTGCTCCATCCTGCACTACGCCATATTCAGTGGGAGCAGTCTTTGGATCCTTCCTTGGGCGTGAACACCTTCATTGGGAGATACTATTTCTTTGTATCAGGTGTAATCCTCTCCTACTCCTTTTGGTTCAGATCTGGTTCAGTTCATGGTTCAAGAATGATCCTTGAAAATATGATTTTCTAAAATAGGGAATGCAATTCCCAGTTGAAGGGAGAGAAAAATAATTTGAAATTCGCCCCCCTTATTCCGTAATCTTTGGGCGTCCATACGATGAATCTCTCATCCCTTCACCTACTACTACACAAGGATAAATTAGATATTGACCAACTATCAAATCTACAATCAACTTGTGATTCAATCAATGGTCAACTACTACTAGAATATCAAGGATAAAACTAACTACTAAATACTAAATGCTACTAGAATGTAAATGAACAATAAGCAATGGTCAACTACTACTAGAATATCAAGGATAACCCTAACTACTAAATACTAAATGCTACTAGAATGTAAATGAACAATAAAGATAAATAGTAGAACAAGAAATATGGTCAGTAATGTTAGAGCTTAGTAACTGCACTAGTTGACCTTGTATCTTGCATATTAAAATAAAAAGAAAAAAATAAAGAGTAAATATGTAAGATCTCAAGGATTCAAGTACTACACTTATGAGAATATTAGCACAAAGAAAAATAAACTAGAAACTTGAAAAGAAAAGAAAAGAACACAAGGTATAAAGGATTTTCATTAACCAATTGAACTTCCTAGGCACTAGCCAAGCCTTTTACATTAGTAGGACTTCATGGGTGCTTTCAATAACCAAACCGGTTAGAATGGGTGCCAACAAGACCAAAACCAGTAGGGCTTCTAAGTGTTTGCAATACCTTGTAATTGGTCTTAACATGGGTCTCAACAAAACCTTAGTGGTGCTCAACAAGTTAAACACATACCTGCTCAAATATTCTTAAC